GCCGTTGATGTAGCAGGTGAAGCCCGTCGTGGAGCGGCCCGTCAGCTGGTCGGTGCCGAAGCTGGCATCGCTGTAGCACACAAGGTCCAGCGGCTGGTCCTTGCGCGTGCCGCTGCGTCGCTTGAAGAGGAGGCCGTGCTCGCTCGTCGCCTTCAGGTACCGCACGACGTGCTTGGCTGCCTGCCAGTGGACCGTCGTGTAACGGTCCATGTAACGGCAGAGCAGTCCGCACGCGAAGCTGACGTCTGGTCTCGTGCGGTTGGCCAGGTACAGGAGCGAGCCGACGAGGTTGCGGAAAGGCAGGCGTTGGTCGGGCTGCTCGCTGATGCTGGAGGCGTCGATGCCAACACGCATGGGCGTGGACACGCTGGCTGCCGCTGCCAGGTTGTAGTCGTTGACGATGTCGTTGATGGCCTGTGTCTGCGCAATATGCAACACCCCGTCAGCTGGTGACGTCAGGTGAAGGCCCAGGTACCAGGTGAGCGGGCCCAGGTCCTCTGCCTCGAAGCTCTCCTTGATCTGCTGCTTGCAGGCACGGATGTGGCGCTCGCTGCTGCCGCTGATGATGAGGTCGTCGACGTACGTGATGATCCATGTGCGCTGTCCGTCGTCGTGGAGCTTGGTGAAGAGGCAGGCGTCGACGTTGCTCTGCGCCCATCCGTTGGTCTTGAGGAAGGTGTGCAGCTTCTTGGCCCATGCACGGCCAGCTTGCTTGAGGCCGTAGAGCGGCTTGAGCAGCCGGCACACCTTGCCCGCGTAGCGTTGAGCGCCGTCGCCGATGTCGGTGAAGTGCGGCGGCAGCTCCATGTACAGCTCCTCCTTGAGATCAGCCTGCAGGTAAGCCGACTTGAAGTCGAGCTGGTGCAGCTGGTGCTGTCGTTGCAGGGAGACGGCGAGTACAGTGAGGATGGTCTTGGCTGCTGGTGTTGGGGCGTAGGTCTGGTCGAAGTCGATGCCCGGTCGTTGGCTGAAGCCCTTGGCGACCCAGCGTGCCTTGAAGCGCGTCGGCGCGCCCTCAGCGTCACGCTTCACCTTGAAGACGAAGCGTGACTTGAGAGGCGTGTGCTGTCGTGGCACGGCGCTGCGTGGGATGAGCTTGATGACGCCGTTGCGCTCCATGGCCCCGATCTCCTCCAAGCATGCCTGAGTCCACTGCTTGCGTTGCTGGCTCTTGAGTGCCTGCTTGATGCTTGCAGGCTCCGTGAGGCTGGTGTCGTCACTGCTGCTTGCTGTGAACGCGCCTGCCTCGGTGTCGCTTGCATCTGTTGTGTCGGGGTCGTAGTTGGCGTCGTTGGTGTCGCTGCTGCTGTCGTTGTCGAAGTCCGTGAGCAGGGAGTCTGTCTCGACATCGTCGTCCTGGTCCTCATCGATGTGAACCGTTGGTGGCTCACCGTCAGTGGTGCTGTTGCTGCTGTCACGTGCACTGGGAAGCTGGAGCATGGACGATGTCGTGGATGTCTGCACTTGCTCCTCCCCCTCATCCACGACATCATCGGCCTTGGAGAAGGGAAGGAAGCGGACGTGGATGGAGGACACAACGGTGTTCGTGTCTTCAAAGTAGACGAGGTGGCTGTTGCTGCTGCTGTTGTGGCCGACGTAGATGCCTCGGCGGCCCTTGGGCTGCAGGCGTCCGCGCTGTGTGCTGATGTGGACGACGGCCGGCTGCGCGAAGACGTGCAGCTGCGGCACGTGCTTGGGCAGCGAGCCCGTGACAATCTGCAGCGGTGTCTTGCCGTGGAGGGAAGGGCGAGGCATGTTGTTGAGGATGTGGAGGGCGTGGTTACAGGCGAGGCTCCAGTACGATGCGTCGAGGCCTGCACCCGTGATCATGGCTCGCACCATGTCGGAGAGGGTGCGCACCTGTCGCTCGACGATGCCGTTCTGCGCCTGGGTGTACGGCGGGGACTGCTGGTGCTGCTTCAGGTGCTTCTTGACGATGGCCTGGAAGTCAGCTCCGAGGAAGATGGCATCGGAATCCGTCTGGAGTGCTGTTGTTGTGGGTGAGATGGGGAGCTTGGTCTCGCGCAGGAAAGACTGGAACGCGGCAACTGCGTCCTTCTTGGCGTTGAGATGGACTGCATGCAGGAGCTTGCTTCCCTCATCGACGATGACGAGGCTGTAGCGCTTGCCCGTGGGCGAGTCCGCGGTCCAGTCGACGATGTCGGCGTGGATGCGCTCGCCGGGCACCTGTGTGCGTTCCGCGTGCTTGCTGACGCTGTGACGAGTGCTCTTGGTCACTGCGCACGTTGTACACTGCTTGCTGCTGATGACGTTGCGATCGTCGATGCCCATCAGCTTGCAGTACTGCTGCACGTCGTTGTCGTTGCGGTGGCCAAGTACCTCATGCATCGATGGTGTCTGCACCTTGCTCTGGGCTGCAGGAGCTGCTGCGGGTTGCTGTGGTTGCTTGCAGGCATCGGCGGTGAGACCGTGTGCCGTGGATGGACCAACAGCAACAATGGGCCAGCACCGGAGGCTGTTGCGCTCCTTCAGCTTGACCTCGGCTCCGTGGCTGAAGCGCACGTAGTGCCCATCAGCGCCATCACGCTGCGAGTGGCCCGTTGGCCTGCCGCTGCTGTCCCTGGTCAGACGACCGAGGGCGATGAGGTTGGCCTGGCCCTCGGGCACGTAGAGGCACTCCTGTAGCACAACCTGCATCCTGGCTCCGCTCGTCGTGCGTGCATGCAACAGCACAGAGCCAACACCGCGCACGGGCACACGTGTGCCGCCAAACGCAGTGATGTGGCGTGGATGGTGCTGTTGCAGGTGCGGTGTCAGCTCCACGAAGGCGTCCTTGACGAAGGTGAGGTGGTGTGAAGCACCCGTGTCTGCAAGCCACGTGAGTGGGTCATGCAGCTGCGTGGGTGTAGTAGCTGTGGCAGCGACGAAGG